GGAGTTGTAGAAATCGCTCAGGTTTTTCATGCTGCTGTCAAATGATACTGAAGCTAATGTTCTTTGTGGTGAGGGTCTTTCTTTACACTCCAAATCACATTCACTTTCTTGGCTCAGAAACCATAAGCTTGGTAAGCATTTGGAGCTGGCAGAGATAAGAAGTAGACGGATCTCTTGTGAAAGAGAAATGCCAAGTTTTCCCACCTAACAGGAAAAGGACTAATAATCACACCACCTTTGAGGGCAGTTAAGCCATGGAGAACATCGTGGCTGTAGGACTGAATAAATCATGCGTAACCGCTGAATTTAAGATGAATCATAAATTGGGTGTGTGTTAGAAATTTGTTCAAGGGGCAGTATAGTCAATTTAACAATTGTTCAGTTGTAAACACATACTGAATCATGCAGTATATAATTATATATTTTTCAGAAGCAGAGTGGCAGGCCGAGGGACTCAAGTTAACTGGTCAGGTTCTGATTAATTCGTATGATTTTGGCACAAAGCCATATGTGCTGTGTCAACTCATGTTTTGAAGGAAGATCATGATTTCCTAACCATAGGCATTCCAAGTCTTCAAGTGGCTTTGTCTACTAATTAATCTGGAGCTAAAACCTCCTAATTGCAGGATTTAAACTAGACGGTATAAGCTGCTCGGAAAGGTTTTGGCCTCCATAAAGAGCTCATTTTAAAAGCAGGCTTCCATGACCAAAAATCTTCATGTTTTACATGGAATCTTTGAAGTGATGGCTGTCTCTAAACATGCTGCTAAATAGCTGTCACACAGACCATACTGTTCTCAGGACTTGGTGTATACCACATATAAAGAGTTGAATGGGCGAAAAATAGGTAAATTTTGATGTACACTATCAGTTGCAGGAAATGGATCAGCTATGGTGATCCATTGGTTGGATAAACCATTGGATGGTTGGATAAAGAAAATCTGCCTTTAAAATACAGTATTTTTCAGTATTTGCCAGATGGTGGTGGGCAATATTTAAAGACCTTTCTAATAATAGATTTAACAGAGAAGTCCAGGAATTTGGGAAATACTGAAATATGAAAGCACCTGCAGCAGATAATTCAGAATTTAGGGAAATCCTATAATGAACCCATAGGGAAGAATATCTTTCATGTAAGGCTTGTCTTCCATTTTCTGGGTGGTGTGTCTGTTTCCCAGCATGGTAGAATGCACAGCGTATTTTCTGCTTGTTCTCAGATTTCTAAGTGTCCTGCAAATTGGTTACTGGTTGGGAGTTTATATGCAGAGAATAAGCACAGATTTAGTCTTAAATTCATTTCTGCATGCTTGAGTATGGAAGGAAGTGGAGGGAGAAGGGATCTGCAGTCTGAGAGGACAAATGATCAGAAACAGTTTCTGTGGGACGAGCAGGTGTTAGGGAGAAGAGATCTCCATATTTGCACTGTGTTCATTTAACTCAGAGCTCTGGTATCTTCTATGTTGTGGTTTAACCAAATACTGTATCATATAGGGCATGTTGGACCCTATTGGTAGATCATCTAAATGATGTTACATAGACAGATTCTCAGTTACTAGGGGAAAAATGGAGATGTATTCTGTTCAAGGACAATTTCCTGCTCAGCATCACTTCATGAAAGGGAAATATCTTTCCTATCACTTGAAGAGAAATTAAGTGCTTTCAAGAAATAGCAGTCTAATAGGTTATTTTTTTTCTCTGGAAAATTAGTTGCTTATGGAAGAAAGGAAGTGCTGTGAAGTCTCTTATGAGGACAGGGGTTTTTAAAGATTATGGCTGCTTTTGAAGTTTTTTGCAGGAATTGGTTCCTACCCTGCAAAACTTGCTGGTGCTACACTTATACCTTGTGTGTGTAGAGTGAGGAGCTGGTTTCTGGACAGATGGAGGTCTCTTATTAGAGTTGCAGCCCATCTGCCGGTATCAAATCTGTTTTTCCAAATGCTTACAGAATCTTATTTAAATCTGTCTTGGCCAAAACCTTTAATAGGCTTTAGGGACCCTCTAACAAGGCTTTCAGGTAGTTCATGTTGACTTCTCAAAACAGATCAGTGCTCCTGCCCACTTGTAACTCTCTTTGTCCTTCAGGGCTTTTCTTTTGTCCTTCAACAGAAACTTAAAAGTGAAATTTTTGGTCTATATGGAGTATATGCATGAACCCATGCATTTTATAAAGGCAGTGGGTAACACATGCATATGTGGGGACATGCACGCTCTTTCTCAGCATGAGTGGGCACTGTAAGAAGCACAGCATTCCTGAAGGCTGACAGGCATAAAGTGCAGAGAGCCAGGTATGTAATGGCACCCACCAGTGCTTCTCATTTCCTTAGGATCAGCTTGCCTTCGTTTGAGGCAGCGTGGACAAGTCAAATCCAGCCAGCTGCCTGTTCCCATCCCTGCCATTCCCCCAGAGTGTTCATGTTTCCTGATGAGGCATCAGGGTATTGTCAGTTGTGCTTCTCAATTGCAAGTGTATGAAGTTGCTTTATAAGATTAGTCACTGATTCCCCCTGCTTAAATCTTTGTAAAGGTTTTCACACCAATAGGAGGATAATATATCACAGACATTTTAAATTGTATTTTTGTGCATGTAAAAAGTATAAATCTTGCACCTTCACCATGTCTGAGTAGAGAGGCTATCTACCTGAGAGCAAAATTACTCTTTTCTTCTGTCACAGAAGAGCAAAGGAAATTCAGTATTCTTTGAATAAGGCTTGATATTTGCTGTTGTGCTTGAATTAGCATTAATTTCAATTTACAGGAAAGCAGAGCAAGAATCTCTCAGCTTATGCTGTGGTCCTAGAGACATAGATTTTCTTGTGTATTCTTGACAGCTGAAATGTAGACCTCTGTTCCATCTTGTCTGTTTTTCAGTCTAGAAATTCAGACTTTCACAATAATAATTAGTCATCACTTGTGTGAATAATAGCTTATTCCCAGACAGGTGAGTTCACAGATAAGATATCCATGGTGTCATCTATCTGCAGACCTTGTAATGTTCTGTTCTTTATGCTATATCTCCTTTTTTTTTCCTCCTCAGAAATGAACATAAGACATCATAACTGTCTGAGAAGACAACACACTTCTTTTTTTTCTCTGCTGCAACTCCTGGGTGTCTGTGGTGTTGCCTGTGTCGTAGAGCATATGTAATTGCTTACGGAAATCTAAATTTTCCAGGAGTTGGGAATACTACTTTTTTGAACATCAAAGACTGAAGACTTGGTGCATAATAGACCCTCCAAATGATCTTTCTCTATCAGTAATTATTTGGACTCAACAACTATTTTCACCCAAGTCACAGAAAAAAACATGTGTGAGGATGTAGTTCAGCTTAGGGCATTGGGTAAGAAAGCCATTGATGTATTTGTAAGAACCAGGTAGCTGCAGAGGATGCTGGCTGGGTAGTAATTTTTAAAATGGTTGGATTTATTTTTTTATTTTTTTATTTTTTTAAATTTAATTTTCATAGCAAAACCCACACAAACATGTAAGTGCAGTTTGGTAGAAATATGGTAAGTGGGGTGATCCATGTGGGAATTTGTTAGCTCTCAAATTAAATGTGTGCTTAAACAAAAGAATCCTGGTGTTGTAGCAGTGCAGCTTCTTTACCTGTATGCATTCATATATGTATATATATACTTGAGGAAAAGCACTGCTGGAGGAATCAGATGCAGGTAGATGTCATTCATGCTTGATTCTGTTATTCAGCCAGTTTTATCTCCATTATCAAATATTATTTCCTTTCCAGGCAGGACATGAGGTAGTGTGAACTGTACTCTGAATACCAGGAATTTTTCTGGTTGAGTACACAAGTCAGCAGCTATCTTTCTTCTCGTGAGTGTGAAAGGATGCTGCTTTCAAATGAAGAACACAAACCTTATTTCAGAATCCAGTGCATTTTTCACAAGTACCATACATGAGGTTATTTTTAACTGTGGAAAAACTGCTTTGATACACCATAGTGGTGTATCTGTTATGCTAATTTCTTTTTCCAAAATGTCTGATAGTCAAATATATTTAGGCTGATGAAGATTGTTTTACTCAGAGCCACCTTTCTCCCATGAAAGGAAGAAATCTCAAAACCCAAGTGAACCATGCAATTTACTCACCTTAACAGCCTAAAAAGCCATTTATGGAAGGATTGGATGTGAATATATATGATTAAAGTCAGGCTTTGAAATCACATATGGTAAGGTCAGTCTTTCTACTTTTTAAGAGTGTGTTGACTTCTGTGTAATTTACAAATATATTGTAAACCTAGCACTTTTCTTTATGACTAAGATTGGTGGGTACTAATGATTCCCTTCTCCCCCCCAGTATTGTAGCACATTAACTTATTGTTTTTGTACCTATCTGAAGGACTTTTGAGTGCCACGTTTCAGAAAATAGAGAACGCTTAGACACTTGGCTTAATTTTTTGCTGATCCTGTTGTGCTGCCTTCGTGACACTGATTATTACATTACTGCAAGGGGAATGCCTTTCCATTCTCTGTTACTGGGACTGAAAGGATTCTGACAGAATCAGAGCCCTTTGGTACTAGAGAATTTGTCTGATGTAGTATAAGTTATCAGTTCATTACCATGGAGAGGCCTTAAGCTAAGCTTTTAAAAATCTACTCTTAAGTAAGTTGATCCATTAGTGAAACCTATTGGTAGAGTCACCGAATTTCTAGACTGTGGCAATTTATATCTTGGTGATAAATATTTGAGCATTACTCTTCTCAAACACTGGGAACTGATTATGAATAATATTATAAAATAATTATAATGTACTGAACGAAAAAGCAGTTACTGTACTAAGTACTTATCACTGCTTCCTTCACTTGCTCACCAGAGCCCCAGTGTTTTATTTGTAGATAGCTTTAGAATGTCACAGATGGTGAGAAGCAGTACTTACTGACTTAGAATAATGCTTTCTAGTGGCTCCATGACATTCAAATCAGGTGCCTGCTACTATTTCTGCTCCCCTGACAAAAGCTTTCATTCCCTCTTCAGCTGTGCTGAGAGCTGTGAGTGAGTAAGGACAGACTTCAGTCATGACCTTTTCACAGTATGTGAGGAATGCGTGGCTCTCGAATGCAACAATGGAATAACTGCTGGACTAAAGCTGGAGGTGCCATTCTTAGTGCCTTTTGTCTGATAGACAGCACATCATCACTCCATCCTGCAGTAAGATGCCTTTTTGCTTCTGGTTATTTCAGGTCATTAGAAGGATTTAATTTGTTATGTGTGAATGAGGGTGTTACTGTTCAAAAACTGTCACTATTGCCTAGCTGCTTTGTAGTCCTGAAATTTCTTTTTTTTTTTTTTATTTTTCTTTTTTTTTTAAAGCTTGCCTTAGTCACAGGTCTTCTGCTCCTACTTAGCAATTAAAATGAAAGTTGCAAGTATGAGAAATGCATCAGGAGACGTGCCCTCTCCGAGGTGGAGCAGATCAACAGCAAAATAAGGGAGTTGCCCAAGAATCTTACACTGACAATTAAACAAAGAGAGGGATACAAGAGTCATGCTACGATTTATGTGGATTAAGCTTACTTTGTAGTGATAATTATATACTCTTCTGAATAAAATTTTAATATCAAATGTGAAACATCAGCTACCCTCATGTATAAAAAAGCATTTTGCAGTTGCCTAGAAAACATGACTTTCATGATCATTATATACAATTTGGACTGGCTTTACTAGTTTGCCTAACACGAAGCTTCAGATAAACAAGTTTATCTGGTTTTGGTGATGGAGACAGAAGAGCAAAGGAGGGAGTCAACACTAACCCTTGCTTGTCTTCCATTGTGTGTTCAGGCCAATACCAGAAGCTGATTTCTTTCTACCTTCCAGGAAAGCAAGCAAGCACTTTTTGAGCAAAATAAACACTGCTTGTCCTGGAGGTGCGAGCCAAGATTCTCAGTGTGTCACATTCTTCTGTCTTCCAGATATGGGAATATAATACTGATCTAAGGCTTTGGGAGGAGAAATGCTAACATCTCATCTGTTCATCTGTGTATGCTCAAATAAAAGGCCAAGATTTATACTTCTGGGAGTGTTTTCATATTGTGTTTTCTTACAAATTTGAGCTAGTTTCTGTTCCTTACTTAGGAGGTCTGAGCTCAAGCAGCAAGCTATCAGTTTGAAGAAGAAATGCAGTTTCAAAGAAATTTTCTTGGTATAGAATTTGCCCAGGAGCATGAAATTTTTGTTTTGCTGACATTTTATCTTGTGTGCCTATGGGGGAGAAAGAGGAGAACATGGAAGGAAAACATGTGAGTGGAAGAAGCTAATCTATTCCATAACAGGAGGAGGGGAGAAACACTTGGATGGTAATACTAATCTCTGCTGACCTCTCTAAAATGAAAGAGAAAGAATAGTGCTAAGGTAATATTGGGTAATAGGGTTGAATGAAAAACATCGTGAAAGTGTGGGTTTTTTTCATATAAATTTTGGTCCACCTGATTTCTGGCAGCTTTTAAAATATTTTTTAAAAAGGGGGGGAAGTGGTAGTTGGATGCTGTGGGGCTGTGTCCCCCCTCTTTGTATCTATAGGAGACATGAAAAAAGTGTATGTGACACAAGGGTTTGTTTCCTTATCCTTCAAGACAATAATTGAGAATAATGTGCAGTAATTAACTTGAGAGCAGGGACTCCAGAAGAAAAAAAAATTCTTTAAGCACAGTTGACTTGATTAGCTTGTGTATTTGACTTGATTGCATGCTTGACTATTTGCAAATAATGCCTTATTTTCTTGATAGTCTATGCAAATTGGACCTGCGGCTATAGGAAAACCACATTTTATGTGTGGATTTTGAAAATAAGGTTTCAAAGACTACTGAAGTGCCAAGCTTTCTAACTTGGCTCCAGGGTTCTGCACTTCAGCCCAGTTTCAGCAACAGTATTTATTATTGGGGATAAACTAATTGGTATACATAGTCAGATCTTGTTTGGGGGTGTAAGATGTGGGCCAATGTAAATAAATAGGATGGATGCCAGGGTTCTGAAATTACAGGGCCTGGTAATGGCTTATGGTGCTCAGGTTCTGAAATGGGAGAGAGCAGATTTTCCAAATTGTCCAGGTCTAGCCCCAGTTCAGTGTCTCTGAGACTTGTGCCTGTCGAGTGCTTTTAGAAAGCACTTCATGCTCAGTGAGTGCTGAATGAAAGTGTCAGTGTTTTTATTTTCAGGCAGCCAGTCATGGCATAAGAAAGGTGTATTTTAAGAAGTTCTCTTGCATAGAATTGCCTTGTTAAATGTACTTCTGATTCCAGGCATTTATATCTCCAGAAGAGGGGCCAAGAAGGGGCTATTGGCTCACCTGCTAAGAGAAAAGTCTCCTCAGATACTGTCCTCCTGCCACCTTTTGCCTAAGTGTTCCTGTGGAGCAAGGGGGAAATATTGCTCATATTCAGGACAGTTAAGGTCAGTTAACTGTTTTATATGGGACAAATAAGTTGGGTTCTTTCTCCATAGAAAGTATTTTGTACGTATATAGAGCCTTCTAGTTCTCTCTTCTTTGTTTTAAATTTTGTCAAAGCATAAAAATTAATATCAGAGTATTTTATGTGATTATTGAGAAATTCTAACAGTGTATTCTAGACGTTTTTCACTGTTTCTCACACATCTAAAAACACCTGCAGAGTTTACGCCTAGTGCAGCTGCCTTCCATGTTTCTTGGCACCATATTCCTATGAAATATCAAGTGTGAGGTAGTGCAGGCATTTCAGTTAGCAGATGTTAAAGCACAGGTTTTGACTAAAAGTTTTTGTTCCGAAGTTACAACATTGGGGAAAAATGTTGGTGCACAAGGTAAGGAAAAAAGCAAGGGATGTTACTAAAACAAAAACACCAAGTTGTCAGGCATTAGTTAAGTTGAAGCAATTTAGCCTTTTGACTTTTCGTCTGTTTTTAGGAACTTTTTGACAAAAATTACTGTATTACAGTCCTTAATAATCACAGTCACAGCAATAGCGCCTTAATATTTTGGCTGGTGACAGTTCAATAAAATTTGGAAAGAATAGGCCTTTAAAATTTTCTGAATTCTTCATTGCTGTTGTAGACCTTCAATTTAAAATTTAAAATTTAAAACATGTGAGGAAAAATGGTGGTGGTTGGGGGAAATGAGAATTCTGAGTGTTTAACTTCTGCTTACATAAGCAATTAAAAAGTGAGGTGGTGTGAAGACTTTGTAAGTGGTAGGTGTAAAAATACTTACAAACAGCCATTTTTGACAGAATTACTCGGTGTGAAGGGCTGCTCCTGTTGTGCTTTCTGTCTTACTTGGGACAGCAAGTGGAAGGCTGCCTTGTGGCATTGGCAATGTCTGGATCTTCCATGGGTGGTGTGCTTTTAACGTGGGCTGCTGGGACTTTAAAATGAGGCTTTTTAAAGCCAGGAGGTCACTGAGCTTGTTTTCGGGCAAGAGACAGAGCCCCATCCCACTCATGGGGGACTATGAGCTGTCTGTCTAGAGGGAGGAGCTGGCAGCTGGTCCTAATGAGGTAGACAGGCTCTTTTCAAAAAGTGTCTGAGATATGGGAGAGGCCTATGGCTTAGGCAATATTTTTCCCTGTGATTGTGCTGCCTGCATGGCTTAGGGCTGAATGGTGCCGAGAAATTGCACTCTGAGCTTGTTAATACAAATGATTTACACCTGAATTTACTCTTTTGTCCTGGAGCATAAAAGCTGCCTCCATACAATGCAACTCCCTTCCTGTGGAAATAGTATTCCTGTGTGGTCTGAGAGTAAATTCTGCCTCAGAACAAGAAATCTGTCAGGTTCATGTCTGTGCACCTCCAGTGCTAACTATTTTAATTTGTCCTGCCTTCCTACTCTGTGTTGTGCTCTCTGCTGTGCAAATCTCCCTGTTTGGATGTGCTGTGGCTGTGATCTGGTGTGAGTTTTGGGTGAGTGGGCAGTCCATGCCCTAGCAGTTCATGTGGAGTACGTACCACCTAACCGTGAGACTTCCCTACCCCGATCCCATCGCCATGTGGCCTCGTACTAAGATGCCATCATACCTCTGTCCTGAGAAAAGGGGAATGAACTTGTCCTTGGAAGGTCCACCTTTCAGTGTTCTTTACTCTGTCCATCCTTATTAGAAAGAGTGAAAGGAACAGGGCACAGGATTCCAGATCTTGCTTTCCTTACATGAAGAGGAGACGGGGAGAAGTCTTGTTGCAGAGAAATGGCTTGACATGAGCTGACTAAGAGTCCATGGAGGACTTTACCAGTGCATCAGGATTTCTTTGCTGGTCAGCCTGGGACACTGAAAAACAAAGGGAATCATGCCAGGAGCAGGATTTTGATATGGTATTCTACAAAAATTTTAAATGTTTTTCTCTTAGAAAAATTCCTCAATATAGTCCTTATGTTGCAATTTATCATAATGTTTGGGTGTTGCATAGAACCAAAAGCTTTTGTATGTATCGAGCATTTATGGTTCTGTATTCACAGAGGGCTACACACTATTTAGGGTTCCCAGAATCTAAGGAGACAGTGAATTTGGATGAACTGTGTACTACAAATATCTTCTTGTGAAAAAACTTCCGAGACAAAAAAAACTGGTGGGGGAGAAATATGTATTGAGCCAGGCACTTCCACTGTCAGCTCGAAATCAGTGCCTGGCTGATGAGAGGTGGGCTGTACAGGTGGAGAAACCTGGCCTTGCATTTTCCTGCTAAGAGCTTCATCCCAGCTTCCCTCAGTCAGTTCCTTGGTGCCAGAGGACCATTTTGTGGGAGTTTCTTTAATCCTCATAACCAGCATGTTGGTCTGCTGAGACAGACAAGCACTGCAGTTTAAAGATAATTTTGAGGAAGAAAAGTTACAGAGAAAGTTACCAAAAAGTTACTGAAACAGATCTGCTTCAATGAGAATCCCACCCAAATCCCAGCTTGTGGCCTTTTGCATGTGTCTGTGCTTGTAATGACTGGTTTTGTGATGGATTTTGCTTGGGCTTTCAAAATCAGTTTGAAATAGTTTGGTTTTGTTGTGTTATGTGTTTGATTTTTATTTGTCAAGCTCCTGCTATCGGTAAAATGCAAGCAGATCTTGTTGCTTGCGTTGCTACAGCTGAAGTGGCTGGGTGTGTGCATTCATACTGCTTCTTATTGTGATCAAGAAACTGTTTACTGTAGGATTCTTTTACTGTGGATGTAATGTGTTTGGGAGTTTCAGCAGACACACTTATGGTCTCTGTTGTGTTATTAAATAGGGAATTGGCTTATAGCTGCCACAGAGCAGTCCACACTATTCAATCACAGCTGAAAGGATGCAGCATTTTGCAGAATGGGGAAAAGGGGAGTGGAGCAGAGGATTTGGGGTGGGGGAGAGGGGATTGTTGTTCTTATGCTTGGCATTCTCCTTTAGAATATTTATCACAGGAAGTTTTCATTTGCAGTTCATGTATTTTTAGTCCCTAGGAGAAGACGAGATCTTTTAATTTGAATTATCCAGATAACTTGATTCTAGATGTACCTACTGAAATTTGAGACAGTGGCATAAAATCACAGAATTTCCTCGATCAGCGAGACCAGACACTCGCTCTGTGCTTGGTGTATGTGAATCTCATGCTGACTGGAAGCACAATTTTCTCTGGTTTTCCATGCATTTATTGCAAGTCTGCATTGGTCCCTACCTTTCCATTTTTCATGGTTTATTTATTTATCTCTTTGGGAATTCAGATTTCATCTTTCTTTTAAATGTTACCTGAGTCTGCTTTCCCTTCCATTGTCTTTTGATGATGACTTTTGAACACTTATTGTTGGAAATATATCTGGCTTAGTAAATACACACAGTAATTGAATGCTACAAACTGGCAAGCTGTGAAATAAGGAAAAATAAGCTGTGTTTTTTTTTTGTGAAAAGCAGCCAGAAATATGTCATTTTTCAGTAGTAGTATGGAATTCTAGGTGAAAAGGCTAGTATTTTAGCAAGTATTGTCAAACCCCATATTTTCAGTTAGAAACTGCAGGATATTCAGCCTTTTGTGTTGCCATTATATGTGTATAAGCCTGGCTATCTGTAATTAAAAACACATGGAAGGCATAGAGCTGCCTAGACATTTGGGAAACTAAATATAGCCTGTAAGCCTGTCCCTCTTTAAATTTGTTAGGTTAGTGCCCATATACCTGAGCCAGGGTAGTATGGTATGATGGGGAGGCTCTGGGTGGGTGATTTAAAGGAAGGGGGAGCTGCTTCCAGCAGTACCATTGGGTCATCTAAAACTGTTGATATCAGTTACTGGTTTCTAGACCATAAGCATTCCTTGTGGAACTGTATTTTCCATTTCCAGCAGCAGCTTTGGAGATTTTGAGACATAATAAATGTACCAGTGATGACTGACAACACACCTTAGGCTCTTACTACAGCTCACTGCCTCAAGATCTTCTCTGGGCTTTGGAGAGAAGCACAGAGAGAAGCCACTGCAGCTGCATACTAATGAGAAATATAAATTGTCATGAGTACTCAGTCTGAGAACGTTCCATAGAAAGATGGAATAATTAAGCAGACACATGATTTATTTGCTCCTGAGCTTATTGAACAGATGAAGCTTTGTTTTGCCAGAATATTTAGGGATGCATTCTTCAGTTTTCAAATGGTTTTGGACAACAGAATATTATATTGTAGTGTGGTGAAAGTGGTTTAGCTCTTTCAAAAAATACTGCAGCATAACCTTGTTTATCTGGGGAAAGAAATCTTTCTTTGTTTCCTAGGGATGTAATGAGTAGAGTGCTGCTGAGAGCTCTATTTTTCTTTTTAACTGTAAGGAGAAGCTGTTCCATAGCTATCAGTTCTATAGCTATTTTGCTTCTGTACATATTTTCTGGTAGTGCTTCTCATAATATGCTCATGAGATACTATCAGTAACCCTGTGAAAGGAGGAAGAGCTTCCTTTCCTAACAACAGCTTCATGACTTAAACTTACCAAAATCATATTAATAACTGATTTATTTTAATAAACCTGTAACTACTGTTCGATCTGTCATCTTTATAAACAGAGCATGCTCTTGCCCATAGCATATGGATTAATGCCACCTTGTTGAATTTATGGATGTAGAGCCTACAATATTAATATGGATCATTATTTTTTTTTAACCTGAGCTTTTCTGGAGTTCAGTTCAAAATTCTTTATCGCCATAGGGAATGTTTTGTATTATTTATATTTGATGGGAGAATTTTTGTGACCGAGGGCTGAACATGGGTTATTACTACTTGAGTACGGCATGCACAGAGAAGAAAAGATGTTATTTAGTCTTACATCAGTCTGTTTATTTCCCAGGTAACATGCATGTGTCACTAGCAGAGGCTCTGGAGGTTCGGGGGGGACCATTGCAAGAAGAGGAAATATGGGCTATTTTGAATCAAAGTGCAGAGAGCCTTCAAGAACTATTCAGAAAAGGTAAGCATTTTTTAAATACAGGACTGGAAACATTTTGGTTATATTAAGGTGCCATATAAATAAACTGTCTTGTCCTTCCTAGGCTCTAAACCCAAACAATTACTTGCTCCTAAGCTGTCTCTGGTTGAGTGCCTCTCTGCATCCTAGCCCAAAGGTTGCTTTCAACCATCACTTCATGTTCTTCCAGAATCTGTGACTCATCCCATTTCTTGTGGTGATAACTTCAATTACTTTAGACCCATTGAAGTGAGATGGGAACATAAGAAAAAAGTGATAAATAATGGTCTGAGACCATTGGAACATATTGGTACTGAAGAAGACATAGAAATGGGTACAGTACTGTGCAGTCATGACCAGTGTGCTCTGAAGAGATTTCGTCTCAAAGGTGAAAAACAGAAAACTTCATCAGAGGGCTAGATATGATTCCCCAAAATGCAAGTGGCAACACCTACATAGCTACTGAGCGGATTGTGGTGTTGTCTTGTACTTCAAAGGAGTAGAAGTATTTCTTCTCCCTCCTCCCTCCTACCTCAGTAGGCTTCAAACTCAGCATCTGCAATACTGATAATATACATTTTAACACTAGGTCTGAATATGGAACTTTTCCCATTCCTTATGTTTTCCTTTCTTTCCTTTAAAATCTGCAAATCCTTAGGGCCCTTCCCTCCCTTTCTTGCTCTTTCTAATAGCAATAAATGCTTAAGCCACATATTGAACTTCAGCAACATCTTTAACTTGTTCTCAGATAAAGTGTATGTTCCCATGCTGCATCCTAGTATTTCAAAACCTTTGTAGGGGGTCATCCCCTTATATCACCATGCTATGTAAGCTTATTCAGTTTTATTATGAAAAATCAAATGCTCACACTTTGAAAATAGTCATTGTTTTGCCACATTACTATGCAAGGGACACATCTTTGTTATTTGGGGCAAAATATTTTGCATTTTTTGCAAGTATTTGATTCAGAATTTTATCAAGATTCAACATTTAGGTTATTTTGGGCTGGAGTTTTTTTAAGATTTGGCTTAGCCAATCCATTGAGTCAGACACTGGCTGTGTCTTACACACTGCCCAGGCTCTGAGAGTGGGCTCTGTTGGACACTTCACAGGCTCCAGAGAAGGCAGATGTGGGCAGAAACTGCTGTGTGGTGCCTGATTTCTGATCACACTTGACTTAGCTTTATAAATATGAATCTGTCAACTTCTCCAACATATTTTTTGCCAGGTGAATTATAGGTAGTTTTGACATCCCATTCAAATTTACCTTCTTCTCCTTACCAATGTTCTCACAGCCCATGAGTGCATTCCCTTTCAGGAATGCTGAGTTTATTGTTGCAGTTTGACCAACTGACCTGTCCTGCTGCTTCTCATATTGGAAGAAAAGGAAAGCTGGCATCTGCTTTCCTCTCTTTCACTCTTTGTTCTCTCTTGGAAACAGTCAGGAGAATTATTTCTTTTAAGAGGACATATTGTTAAGACCTTGACTTATGAGGGATCTTAAATGATTAGAGGTTTACTCTTGTAAACTTCACAGGAATTGACACATGGAGCTCCATCTTCTAATCCACCTACAAGATCACAGCTGTATGAGCACATAGTAGTGAAACCACTTAAAACTTTATCCTGGGTCTGTTTTTTCCAGAAGGGAGTCTCCACTGAAAATAAGAGCTTACCCTTTCTTATCCTGAGAGCAGTGCAGAAAAATTATCGTAATCTGTATGAGGACTGCATGCAAGCATTGACAATGAGAACACAGTGAGCCCTCATTCAGAAGAACAAATACTGAAAGATGAGAGCACAAAACAGAAATCTGCCCCAGGACTTCTGATATGTGTTTTTAAGGCAGGGGAATGTTTGCCAGCCAAGACTGGCTAAGGTGGCAGAAGCTTCTGATCTTACTTCCTATCCATGAAGACCAAAACACAAATTCAGATAAAATCAGTGCCAGAAGAATCTGTCTCTTCTTTGGAGATGAAGCTGTTTTATTGAGTTGTTTTTCTGCTAGTTCAGCGAACTATTTTCAGTTGCATGCTATTAATTAACCTGGGATATAGCCTTTGGTAAAATGCACTTCAAGAGACTCAAATGAAAGAGCTTTTCTGTGTAGCTGAGTTTGATAAAGGTAATCTAATTCCTCTCAGCAAGAGTTGGATAACCAGACAGTTTTTAATGAAGGTTTGTCTTCAGTAACGAAGCAATCTAGAAACCTTTTTTGTCATCTTGAATATCAGTTTCTATGCTGGCTTATGAAGGTGCTGTTAATGTTCAGGAAGAGAAAATGTGGAGGTTCCTGTAGGCTTGTCTCACTCAATTTTGTTCTTTATTTGTGGAGGACTTGTAGCAAATGGGGGATCTTAAAGAAATCTTGTTTTCCTTGGTCAAATTTCAGACCCATTTCTTCCATGTATATGGTGTGGAAGAGCTATTTTATGGGAGAGTTTCCAAAATTTTTCAGAACTGACTGATCACTTCTGGGCAGAGGGAGATAGGGCAAGCTTTTAGCTTCTGCAAGATCACAGCATGTTCAGCTTTGACCAGTTCTCAGAAATGCTATTCCTCCCTGTACAGAGTCCTGGAGTCCCTGAACATGCTGTTCTGTAACAAAATACAAGATTTGTTGAATGGTTTGTACATTGTTTGTTCAAAAAAATTAAATGAGGCATATTGTTCAACAGTCTGTGTTCCAGCTGTTTTGAAACAAGGGGGATAAAAAAGGCCATGGAAATAGCAAACTCTTAAATTGCCATCTGTTGTCAGCCTCCCCACACCAGCCCAGGACCCACAGATGCTTTAAGGAATTACCAGCCCAAGTAATCATTTTTGTGTGTGACCCTGGTAGAGTTTTGGTAGTTTGTTTCAAGTTGAGAATCTTGCTATCACTCTGTCAACTGAGAACCTGTTCTTCAATTAATTTCTTACTTAAGCTAGTTTCTGGAAATTAGAAAAAATGTCCAAAAAAGGCTTCTGTTACAGATTTGATGACTTCTTCATACAAAAAAGTTTTGCATATCTTTTAGTGAGTCTATCTTCTTATCCCTCAAAGCACTGAGTAAGAATTTTCATCCACTGAACACAGGATGAAAATCCATTGTCTTCGTGGCTAATTGCATATCACATCATGCCTAATTCAGCAACAGATACAGAAATGTGCATATTTTTATCCCTCTTTGTATTTATGGGTCTAACAGATGTTGAACTCCTTAAAAAAAACTTCACAAATTTATTTCTGTCATTATAAAAAAATGAAAGCTTAAATTGAAATGCCCAGTTGCTTATCACCAATTTAGAAGATCAGCTCTGGTAGCTGTCTTGTCAGCACATTATAAGCTGTTAAATGAAGGAGAAAGACAATCTAGGACTCAGTTGCAGATCTGACATCAGTTGCATTGGTGATGTTGAGATTAATCTGGAGATTTGAAAAGGCTGATACCAGACCTGCCCTTCTCTTACATCTGTTTAATTATGTGCAATAACTATTTTGTTGTTGAAAGGGTGTATCAGCTGTTTCAGACATGCTGTATCTTGCACTCAGAACTCCATGAGGTCAAAGGAACAAGTCTTTGAAGTAATCTCAAATGTGAGTGTATAAGCATTAGGGGAGTGCTGTGCTCGCTGCTGCTGAGAATTATAAAACAGGCGTCCCTCTAATTTGCTAGGTTTAACTGGAAAAGATTTATCTAAACTTGAAAGTGGGAAAGCCTTCATATGTCACCCAGGCCACTCCTGTTCTAAAGTGTGCGTTGAGGATTCTGAAAACAATTGGACCTTAAGTTTGGAGACATGTATCTAAAGGAAGGGGGAAGGGAAGAGGGAAAGTGAGTCTGATGTTAAAAAGACAGGTTGAGCAAAGAAAGAGTCTTTGCAAGTTGAATGTCTTGCAAATTTGTATATGGGAAATGATTTATGTAAAGAAAAGTTGTATCATCTGAAAATGGATGTGAAGAAGGAAGGTTATGGTTTTCAGGGATCTGTAAATACTTTTGACTGTCAAACTACTCTAGCTGCTTTGCCTGAGTAAGCGTAATGAAAAGAAGGAAGGCAAAGTGTGAAATGTGTTGATGGGACTAGTGATGAGTCCAAAGTAGTCATAGACCTAGTTGGGATGGAGCAGGAAATGGATTGGTGTGGTTGACAGGAGGAAAAATGCAATAGGAAGGGGTAAAAAGCCAAATCCTCCTTTCCTAGATGGTCCTTGTTGGCAGGTGATAAATGATTTTCCTTTTGCCAGTAAATGTTGGGGAATGATTTTTCTTTTTTTCATCGTCTGGTGACATTTGATCTTTCAGTTGCTGAGAAGGAGAGAGATTGGACTTCTGTAATTTTATTGGAGTTTTAAATTTTTTTTTTAGTTTCTATTCCTCATCCCTTCCTCCACCTCCACCCACCCTACTCACACCAAAGAGGCTCAGTAACTACTTGCACTCTTTGCAGAGCTCTGCTGGATGTAGTCAGCACTACAGTGCAGTGTGGTGTTTGATTGTGGGGCAGCTCAGCAACAGAAAGGGATCTCAGAAACTAATTGTTCAAGCTGTTTCTTGCTCCAGTATCCTCAGGAAAGAGTACATTTCAGTTTTCCAAGGGGTTCAGTATCCCATCAGAGCTCTCCTATCCCTTGGTGCCAAAGGCAGAGGGAGCAGAGACACTGCAGTGCTGCTTGCCCTGCGCACCAGGCATGCAGGGACACGCTGCACCAGCCCAAGAGGAGAGGATTTACAGCAGAACTGGTGCCGTGTGCTGGAATAATCCTGGCCAGGCTGCAGGTGAGTCAGTGGTCTGCCTCCAGCCTGGCCTGAGCATACAAATTTTCACGTTCCTTTGCTCTAGGAGAAATCTTACTTGTCTCAGTGAGGGCTATGGAGAGAAGCAAAAAATGTGTGTTGAAAGCCTTGTGTATATCTTTGGGTTGTTCTGTGCTTTTCAGAGATGTGTGTGTATGTGTTCTGTGTGGCTTACGAGAAGTGGGGGGGTAAAGATCCTGAAGGACTGACTGGAATTGTGACTGTAGCTTGGGAATTCAAAATTACCTGCCAACAGTATTGTAAAATAGATCCATTTCAAAATTTGTCTTCACGTCTCTTAGAATGTGGTGGGCCTTTTTTATCTTAGGCTACTTCTGTGCTTTTAAAGCACATAAAGGATTTTTTTCCTCTCTCATTTGTTTGTCAGATGTTCTGTAGCTGAGGATTATTTCTGTTTTTATTGTGTTTAAAGCCAGTTCAGTCTCTCACTTTAAGTAAGACCATGCTATTTATCTCTGTCTTGGTACTGCTTGAAATGCTGAGCTCTCACAAGTGTTTTGTTACCAAGTTGCATAGTTCTGGAGTTAACTCAGAAGGCTGGCAGCTCTAGCACAGTTGAAAGCCTATTAGATAGAAAATTGACCGGAGCCATATCCTGAATTCCAGTGCTTTTATAAAAAAAGGGTTTGAAACTTTTTTTTTTGGTCATTTTCCTCAGTATTTTCAGGAGTGTATTACCCTTACTGCTCTTACAAATAATTCTGAAAGCCTAAATAGAAGATGATGCGAATATTATCACTGGAAAATAGTTTCTTTTCTTTTCCTGTGGTTGCTGTCTATTTGCTACATTGCATCTTTGCAATTATTTTTTATCCATGGTGCAAACATGTTAGAGATGTGTTTCTAAAAAGTATTTCCTTAGGTATATCTACCAGGTTGGAGCTTTGAGATTAGTTATTTTGGTTTGTGATGCATGCCTTGAGGAAGGAACTGGAGAATTAACTGTTTTATCCTCATCCTTCCTAACAATCGATTAGATTCCTTGGAGTTGTGGTATAGGCTCTATGATCTGCTATGTTAGTTATAGGCTACTGAAAGAGGAAGATGAGAAAATGTCAGTAAAACAGCAAAATCAGTCTTTTTTCTAAACTTACTCTTTATCACATTCCTTTTACATTGCTTGAAGTCATGAAGATTCTTGAGTGGGAGTGGATCAATAAATTCAGACTCTACATCTATAGGGGACAAATGCTCTAAAGTTTGTTGAAATTAATATTGGGAAGACTTCAGACTAATTGAGGGAGTTTAATTGTTCTTAAAACTAAATCAATTTTTTGTCTTAGTATATGTTAGTATATTAGTATAGTCTTAGTTTAGAATATGAAGAGTTTTTATGTATTTCAAGTATTACACAAAATGTTAAAGTAAGATTAAAGCCTCTACATTTCTTGAAGTGCCTGAGTTGGGATTCATAAGGTAGAATTTTAAAATATTATAAGATGTTGCTTGTTTAGGGTTTTTATATCAGTGGTGAATACACACAGAAGTGGTGCAGAATTCAGTAGTTACCCACAGGATAATTTTTCAAAGTCAGAGGCCAACTAAGGTAGTCTTAATAAAAATAGTTTTGGAAGCTTTGCTACATAATATTGTATTTTCTTGTTACATATAATAGAAATGGCCTGTTCATCCTTGTTTCTTTTTTCTAACATCTGAACTTGCTGCCACAACAGTGAACAGCGCTTGTTCTGGTTGTTTCAGAGGAAGTGGGGCTAGAAAATTGAAAGACGTACTTGGGAGATCTTTTTACACCTGATATCTGCAAGCAGTAATTTAATATCCTAGGAGATTAGAAATATTCTAGATTACAAGATAGTTCAGCAGTCTAGGAACCAGCACTGTAGGCATATCCTGAGCTGGAGAGTGGAAAATGTTAGTGGTGGTGCTAATGGAGGAAATTATTATTCTGCTGGTTTTGCTTACTATATCAAGGGAAAAAGGATATACCACTCAAATGTGTTTCCTCAGGTCTTTGATATATTGATATATTGTGTAGCAGAAGACAGAGCTATTGCCTTTTTGCCTATGAAAAAATCAAACTTTTATTTTTTTCTTAGTAAAATCTCATGCCTCCTTCAGTGAAACTGAGTTGATTCATGTTTGAGGTGTTTTTTGTCTCCTTCTGTTAGCCACTCTAATTAGTATTTTCCTTCCCCACTAACTTTGTCTACTGTCTTCCAAACATTGTTGCTGCAGTAGTGCTATGTTAGGACAGGAGCAAACTCCATTCCATTCCATTCCATATGAATTTGCCTTAATGATATGTGCACTGCAGAAAGGGAATGTTTCATATGTCAACTGTAACACAAATGAAATAACTTCAGGACAGGAGATTGTGAGTATTTAGCAGGCTCTTCCTGAGCTTGCTGGTATGAATAATAGTAAAGAATACTCATAAAAGATAGGTGTTACTCCCCAGTGTGATTAAAATTGAGGTTGTTGTGGTTATGAAACACCACAAGTGGAAAAGGAAGCATGAATCTATTCCACTAATAGTATGTAGGCTGGTAATAAACTAACATCCAGAAAGGGCATCAAACAACATTGCTTCATTTTCAGGGTGGTTTTTGTTTTTTTCCCTTTTCAATTACAGCTGATCCTGCTGCTCTGGGATTCATCATTTCTCCATGGTCTCTCCTGTTGCTTCCATCTGGCAGTGTGTCATTTACTGATGAAAATGTGTCCCAACAAGACCTGCGAGCATTCACAGCACCAGAGGTTCTGCAGAACCACTCGCTGTCTTCCCTGTCAGATGTTGAAAAGGTACAGTGCCTCTTCCTTGGCAGACAGCTCTGGTGGTTTGCTGTTGATCCCTTCACAAAATAGCTTTAAACTGTCCTTTTTGTCTCCCTTTGGTTTGTGATTCATGTAATTTCTTTTGTGAGGGGGGGAAGGGATCCTCCTACTTTGTTTTTGCTGGTTGAAGTGGAATAGTGATTGTGGTTGTATGCAGTTGTGAGGAAGAGTCTCAACAAGCCCTGGCCACGTACGTACTTGGGCAAGGGCTGCACAGAATTCCCACTTCTCATTTTAACTCTTTCACAAGGGTAAATATTCAGACAAGTAAGATTTGTATATGTGATCTCCAGGTCACTGACAAGTACAGTCAAAATTATTACCTTCTCAGCTGTATTCTTGACAAAATTTGTTGTGAATGGTAACTTTCCCCAGAAAACCATTCCCTTGGCTTAGTCAAAGATATTTAGTGGTGGGAGTGAAAAGGAAGCTGAGCTATTTCTATCTCCTTGGCTTTCCTGGATCAATAATCCTTAGAGGAAAGCTAACCACAGCCAGTGTTGTAATCTGGGAACAATTATGACATTTGGCAGTGTTCTTCCAGGAAGAACAGCTCTTACTCCAGAGGAAAGTGGTATTGGCATTGATTGCTGTTGTGTGCACAAGGACTATTAAAACATGTGTTTCTATGTTGAATATTTTGTTTTAGCAGTTTTTTGTATACAGTCAGTTTTCTTCAGGGCTAAAGCACTGAATACCTACTGAAAATCCACAGTTACTCCCAAGCCCTTTAGACATCCTTCTTTCCCTGCATATTGTCAAAATTAATGGTATAAAAAATATATTTACAGTTTTGTCTATGGCAAAACTCTAAACAATTAGAAACCTAGGCTGAAAGTTTTAATAGAGAAGTAAAAATAACACTGACAAATGAAGACTCAGGTTCAGTTATCTAGGATGCAGCTGCCAAATCCTGTAGTAATACTATTGGAATTGTTTCTTTTCTTTCAAGAGGGACAACACTTCAGAAGACAGTAACGTTACCTCTAGTGCCAACTCTGAAGTTAATGTACAAAACTGGCCTTTAAAAATGGCAGAAAAAATAGTTCTGAATTGACAAGCTTGTGACCTTTGTCAGAGCTGATTGCATTCTTTGTTCTGTGCCAGTATTCAATATGCTATTTTTTTTTCCCTTTGAAATAAATGGGAGGACTGTTACTATGAAAAGCCATGCTGAGACATTGCTTAATCTCTAGGAAGAAACATTCAGAGGGGCCTCAGTGGCCCGTAAATGCCAACACAGAGCATTTCAATAGGCGATGACCAAATGCTGGCGCTCTGTACATGTACAGTGCTGATTAATCCTCGCTGATTAGGGCTGTGTGAATTTCTTTCCTGGTGGCAGCATAACCTTGCTTGCTTACATGAAAGAAGGAAGCTCCCTGAATCAGCTCTGTACAAAAACTGGTGTCCTTTTATGACTTTTATTAGTTGAAGTTAGTAGAGCTGATACATAGCTTATATGCACCCCTCTTTTTTTGCCTGCTTCCCTTTCCATTCCTATTAAACTCTATCAGGTCATTCATAGGTTCTTTGTAAGGAATATGTCGACTTTGTGTTTCTTAGGTCACAGAATCAGATTTTGCTTTGCTGACTGTGGTAACTTTTAACACATTTAAAACTTCTTCTGTCACAACTGGCTGTAGTTCACTGAATTCATTTACTGGAAATTGTTGGTTTTTTCCTTTTAGATTGTTCTACTAAAAGCTGCTGAAGGCAGAAAAGCACCTTGTTTTTTAAGGCCTTGTATCAGACAGTGACAGAGTTGCCTTTGTCTTTTCAGTTGTGACTGTGCTTGCTAATACAAATTAATGGTGTATTCAAGGAGAAATACCCCAAAAAAATTACAGTCAATAAAGGAAAACCCCTTTGATTCTAAGACATGCAGTCAATTTGAATCCAAGATACATCTGAGGTAACCAGGACAACAAGCTTATGGGAAATAGAGTAACCAAACCATTCAAAATTAGAATGGAGATTGATTTGGGAAATTAACGTCATGTTGATTTATATATTGTGGAAAATATTTTAAGTGTAATAATACAAAAATTAATTAGAATTTTTGCATAAATGCTCATCTTTTGAAAGCTGTTTTAAGATAGATTAGTAGAGTAGCAAGTTTTAGTTTAGAGATTCTAAAAATGAGATTGCACATCTCATTTTTGGAAACATCTTTGGGTATGTTGAAGCTCAGAATCGTAGAATGATGAAATACCCTGGATTGAAAGGGGTCCTCAAGGATCATCAAGTCCAGCTCCAGATTCCAAAGAGGACAACCCAGAAATGTATCTGACCATTATCCAAATTCTTCTTGAATGCCAGCAGCCTTAGGACTATGACAATGTCTCTAATTAAAATTAACTAACTTTATAATAGGCTTTTTAATTGCTGTTCTTGCATTACTGGGGGAGTGAAAAAGTTGGGGCATTTCTGGTTTTGTTTGGTTTGGGCTTTTTCTTGATTGTTTTTGTGTCTTTTGTGTTTTATTGGCTTTTTCTAGAAAGTTTTTTTGTATTCATTATTGCTGTGAAAGCATATTCACCTTTTTCTGTGTAGCTGTGGTATATCTTGATATGTAACAAAGTCTTTGTAGTTTTTCAGTTGAAAGGGTAATGGATAATAAACCAGATAGAGAACAATTTTCTCAGTATTTGAAAATGAATGTTTCTGGGTGGATGGGGCAATGGTATTAACTTAGAAACCTTGATGCATTTTTCTGACTACTGTCCTAATCTGTTCAGATTTTTGTCAATTTATAGATCTAGAATTTAAGTAAGATATTTTGCTTTTAATTGGTGAAGAGGCTGACTTATGTGACCTTTTAATTTATCACTGTCCTTGTAATTGTTGTTCATTGTCTTCAGAATTATTCAATAAATTTGTTGCTTTATGTACTGTAAATATTACTAATAACATGGTATAAAGAGCCAACACTAGTGTATATTACTTACACAGTCCAGAAAAATTGTGCCTTCTTTCTACATTTACCTGGGGTTTTTTTGACAGTCACCTACAGAGCCAGCATGTGCTTGTGCTTTTAATTCTGCGGTATTTAAAGGTTTTATTCCCTGTAGTGAGAGATTTATTATGCTGAAGACATATTAATCATTAATTGTATGTGTAATGGCAAATGTATTTGTACCTTAAAATATCAGTTGCAGATTAAGGTACTGCTTTAAATGTTTACATTCTTTTATTCATTCCTTCTTTTTCCTTTGATCCCAATCTTTGTGATCTCATTAGGATAGCCTCCTGCTTGAGTTGTGCCAAGGTCTGCCTTGCCTTGAGACAGAAGTTTTGAGGATCCTTGGACACAACCATGTAGTCTTTACCCCACACTAAGATTGTATGGATTAGATGAGTTTCTGGCTTCAGAAACTTAAAGATGTTTAAGCTTAGAGATGAAAGCTTAAAATTGAACAGAGAAGATGGGGGACACTGGTTAGATGTCATATGTTTTGTAGCACTGGGATTTACTTCTCTGAACCTCATGTAAAGGAGAGGTAGGATTTGAAAGACAGCTGAGCTTAAATACCAGAAATTTATTTCTAAGCAAAATGATGTTAAGTCACTCCCTCTCCTTTAAAAGTCTGCTCTGCATTTCTAGTCTTGTTCAATGAATTGACAGATATCTTGTGTCTTATGGCAGGTCCATATTTATTCTCTTGGTATGGCGCTCTTTTGGGGAGCTGACCACGAAGTTCCTCAAAGTCAGGTAAGTTTGGATTTGGTTTTAGTTAATATTGCAGCTCCAGACTTGATATCGTTTGACTGACTCTGCATTTGAGTTTGCATGGCCCGGTGTCATACTGAGACACTGAGGAGCAAGAGGCCTTTCCCAGAATTTTACAGAATGGGTCAGGTTGGAAAGGACCAGAGTGGGTCCAACCTCCCTGCCCGAGCAGGGTCATCCCACAGCACATGGCACAGGATTGCATCCAGATGGCTCAGTGAGCTTCTCTAGGCAGTCTGTTCCTGTCACTGCACAGAACAGAAGTTTTCTTTCCCATACTTGGAGTTTTTCTTGTAAAGTGTCGTCTGGTTTTGCAGGGAGAAGGTGCTGGTAGCACATTTCTGTTACTTTACATGAAGATACATCTGGGCTAGTCTATCCTGTAATGCCACAGGCTGAAAGACAGCAGTTTAAGCTGTTGACAAAAAAGAAAATAATTTGTTTTGGTTTAGGCTCATATAAAAATAAATATTGAAGTAACATGGTTGTTTTACACATAATAAAACAACTTGTTCTCCATGCTGTCATAGCTTCTGTGAGTCTGGATTTGACACATATAGATAATATATGTGTATAACCTTTCACAATGGTCAAAAAAGGGTATGAATTGTTTGGAACAGGTCTTGCTATTGACTTGTCAGTCAATGCAAACACAGTTGCAGACTGCTTAGAGATGAGTGTTATTACTCAATGTGGTTATTTTACACACCCAGCATAAATCTTAGACTGTCCTGCCAAAACTGACTGAAGATTGATGTGATTCTTTATCTTCCTCAGAGCTCCTTCCCTGTCCCAAATTAAACTTTTAGAAGTAAATGCCTAGAAGAGTGAAAATAAGATAAAATGCTTCTGAAAAGGCATTTAATAACGAACCTGCAGCTGTGGGAGAAGCAATTTGTGGTTTAGATTTAGGTTTGTTCCTACTAGTTGATGTTATATATAAGACTAAGGAAGAAAATTTTGAAAGACTTCAGCATTTTAGGCCTTCAGTTCCTAATATTTTCTTTACCAGAGTGGTAGTTGGCATCTCAGTCGTACTTATTTGGAAGTAGCTGCCTGAATGCAGCTAAGTGAAGTAAAAAACTTCAAAGCTCTGAATGTGTAGGGGTACCTGTTCATAATGGCTACTGCACCTGTCCCAAAATCCCTAGAGTTTTCTTATATTCTAGGGCTTTCCCATTTCTTTGCTTTCCTGTCTTGCAAGAGATGAAGAGTAGTATTCAACAGTAGTAGGAGAGTGATTTAAAGTAGGTAGGTGTTGAGAGGAGTGTAGGCATGAATTTCAGTCCCCATCTTCTGTGTTTCTCCCTTTGGTGTTAGAAGTGTAGCAGCACTTTCTCAGTAATGTAGTGGGGAGGCATGCCCTACCTGCTAATAAAACAGGATTTCCCCAAAGACAATGTGGTGAGGTATGCCTAGAAGGAATCTGCCTTTGGGATGTAGTCATGTGGGTCCTCTGTCCTGTGGAGTTAGTGTTGGCAAAAGGACAGTCTTGTGTGTGGCATTACTTTTGTGCATTAATTTGCATGTGCAGATTTGCCCTTTTTCTGTATTTGCCTCTGTTTGTTAATGAGCTGCTTCTCTGCTGGGAGTGTGGCTGAACATGAGATTCATATCTTATTCACATACATGATTTTTTATGATTAGTTAGAAGTGGTAAACAGATAGATGGGAAAAGCCTATATTAATTAAATCGGGGTGGTCCAGAGTGCCTTTTTTATGGTTCACCTTAAGAGTGCACACACAAGGAAGATTGAAAGATTGCAATTGTTTGAAGCACTCTGTGATGCAAAAAGCTTGACAGTGTTTGTACTTTGTGGGTAACCACCCACTTTGGGAGAGCTACAGATCAGAACGCTCAGGTCGCAAGTGCCTGCGGCACCTGAGAACAAGTGTTATCACTGGCTTCTGCATACCCTGGGGAGGGATATTCCAGTACAGCATGCTGCTGTATTCACTCAACAGGGAGGGCAGAAAGACATCGAGATTTACTTTTCTTTTAGACTGTATTGGTGCTGTCTGCAGTTATGAAGCTCTGCTTCGTTAATCAGTGGCTTGGTTGTTTTATTCCTTACTTTTTTGTTGATACTGTTTAGTGATATCAGTGGAATTTGGGAATGCTAACACATCTGCTGCAAAGTATTGGGGAGGTGAGGAACTGCAGAAAATGAGCACAGAGGGTTGTCCAAAATTATTGTGATGAGATTTGAATTTTATACTTGAGTGGCAGAATGTTCAAAGTTAAGGAATAAAACTTCCTCTGAACCTTTTCCCTTCTACTTTATTTTCACTTACTCATTAAATGTTTGAGAAAGTCATTGGTGTCATGACCTTAGAGATCAGGAAGCTTGTTTAGGCTGGGTCATTGTAAAGTAGGAGTTGAATCCAGAGGCTGAATGTCTCTCTCCTGTTCTACAGCCACTATTTTTTCACTTCCTAGATGGTGACTTTCAAACTGGCACTCAGATAATGTAGGTAATAAGTCTTTGAGTGTGTTTGGTTTCTGATTGTTCCCCAAGTCACTCAGTTAACCAAGTTTAACCAAGTTAAAACTGATTCTCCTGTCTCCCCTGTTCGTGTTTGTCACTAGCCTATCAAGCTTGGAGACCATCTCAACAGCATTCTCCTGGGCATGTGTGAAGATGTCATTTATGCCCGTGTGTCTGTTCGGACTGTTCTGGATGCCTGCAGCGCCCACATAAGGAACAGCAACTGTGCCCCTTCTTTCTCATATGTGAAGCAGTTGGTCAGACTGGTTCTGGGAAGCCTGTCTGGGGTAAGTCTGTGTCAGCGATTGAGGAAATAATAGAGGTGAGCAGGAAGAGAGCAAAAGTGCTAATTCAGAGTCACTCTGCAGTCATTCTTCCTCTTGTTTTGGTATGTTGCAATTTTGACAAGGGTGAGTGTTGAAAGGAGAGAACAGCTTCTCTCCCCATGTAGCACTTAGTGCACTTGACAGTTCCTCCTGGAACATGCATTCACGAGTTTCTGAGGAGGTCATTTCATGAACTGTCTTCATTGAAAAAAAAAAAAAGTAAGGAGAAACAGGAGAACAGGATGATGAACTGTAGGGCAAGCCTTAGACTTGTTGCTACTTGAAATGCTTCAGAAATGATTGCTGGGAGTTTACTTTAACTTGAAGTTATGCTTGACTTTTGGAGAGTTGCTTATTAACAGAAAGGACTGTTTAGGCAGTGTGACAATTCTCTTACACTTCTGCTCAGCTCTTGAATATGAGAATTGTGAAGGATTTTATTGTCTAATAATGACCAAACTGTTTTTAGAAGTGAAAAAAATTACATTAACTCATCTTGCAAAGTTACTATTCCTGATGGGCAACTTCTCTCTTCACCTAAACCATTACAGCATAAATTCAGAATAGTTAAATAATTTTATGTAAATAAAGGAAGACCATAAATTGGTGTAGAATAGTAGAATGGTTTGGGTTAAAAAAGACATTAAAGCTATATCCAACCTCCCTCTCATGGTCAGGGATACCTTTTGCAAGATTGCTCAGAGCTTCATCCAGCCTGGCCTTGAACACTTCCAGGGCAAGAATGTCCACAATTTCTCTGGGCAACCTTTGCCAGTGCATCACCACCCTCACAGTAAAGAACTTCTTCCTAATAGCTAATTTAAATCTACTCTCAGTTTGAAGCCATTTTCCTTTGTCCTGTCACTACATGCTCTTGTAAATAGTTATTTTCCATCTTGTAGGTTCCCTTCAGGTACTGGATGGTTGCTATTAGGTTACCCCTAAGCCTTTTCTTAGCCTTTCCTCATAGGAGAGGTGCTCCACCCCTCTAATCAACTCAGTGTCCTTTCTCTGGACTCACTCCAGCAGGTCCGTGTAAAAACTGGTGTCTAGAGAGACAGCACTGAAATTGCATGAAAAATGTTTAATTGATAGATAGTTTCTTCATGTATCTGGTTTGGAAGTGCTTGCAGAAAGCAAGAGGTCCCTTCATTTGTCTGATATTTGACAGCAGCTGATTATGGCAGGCCTCCAGAAGTAGTGCTGAGCCTGAGCTCCACAAAGCCTTGTCTAGTCCGTGAGGTATGTCTGTCAGGCCAGTGCTCCTCACTGTAGTGTCTGAAGTCTTGTGTAGTTGCCAAGTGGGACTAGTCTGTGGTTCAGTGAAATAAAAGGCTACAGGGCCTTCATCAGTGGTGCTGTTAAAATAAAGATCCAGGTTTTGAATCAGGCCACAGGCTATAGAAACAACCACTCTGGAAAGTGAGTCATTATTCTCCAAGCTGTTGATGACCATTTCAGCTTAGCAAGTGTTCTCCCTCCTCTTGTTCTTATCAGCAGGCTTTCAGGGAGTCTGGGTTTTCTGTGGCAGGCTATCTAGACCAAAGACAGTAACAGTGCTCCCAAATGCTTGTGCTGAAATCCAGCAGAGAGCTGAATCCAGCAAGTGTGCTCCCAAGCTCCTGTCCATGTTGTTAATGAAGGATTGGGACTAGCAGTTATCCAGTGCTGAAGCTTTGCTCATTTCCTCTGCCAGTCACCTTTTTAATTCTGGACGTGTCACTGCATTGGCTTTGCAAGAAGACAAGGAAAAACCCAGCTGAACAGAGCCAAGAGTTGAGGGAGCAATGACAGCATAGCTGTGCTGCTAGGTATTTGAGCACCTTAGCCAGCCTGCCCTGCTAGTTTTAATGATCAGTGCTCTGTGTGTGTGCTGGAATGTTTTGAATTAACATGAAAAATGTATAAATTTTGTTTTTTCAGAGGCACAGTACAATTTACTATTCCAAGAGTGGCATGCCTCTAATTTTGATGGGCCTTATCAAAGGCTCAAGGGGTCTTATCTCTGTAACCAGTCATTTGGTGATGTCTGAAGCACAGCTGAGAGATCTCATTTGAATGTTTTCATTTGCCATGTTAATTTGCTTTGTAAAGGGCAGTATAACCCCAGGCTGATTCAGTCTGTTTAGTGTTAACTGAGTTGTACTGTAACTGTGAAGTCTGCTTGATTTCTCCTTCCCTCCTGCTGTCCAGGTTGCACTCCCACTATATGAAAAGATCTCACTAAGAATGTTTTGTTGTAACAAATAAACTCTTCTTTGAATGATTGAACATGTGAAAGTTTTTCCTAGGGAAGTATTGATTAAAAAAAAAAAAAAGTGAAAAGTTAGTGGGAGTAGTTAAGCCTGACACATGAAAAGGAGTGTGCCTGAGGGTCTGAAGAGACTCCTGACCAATGGATGCATGTGATTTGACATGTGCAATCAATCCTGCAAGGGTACAAGATAGTTCTTCCTATTACAAGGAGAATTCATCGGTAGAACTAGGCAAGTTCTAGTCACGTTGTAATCATGGAAGATGGTTTTGAGTGTTGCTGTCCCTTCAGTTTGCTGTAGGGGTGGAATGTGTTTAAGTTACATCCTTGTGAACTTAATTTAGTCTTAGTGGAAAAAAGGTAGACCAAATGTGTAGTTAAATAATGTACAAGCTGTTCAAATATGTATAATTCTAGGGGATATGCTCACTGATGAATCAATTTTTTTATTAAAATTTTGAACTCCCATTCTCCACTTAACTGTTTGACACAAACTAATAGTGTACATTTACATAAAAACAATGCTTGTTTCATACTTATATGAGCTCTTCCAACATTTTGACTTTATGTTACTGCCTTTTTTTTGCAGATGGATCAGCTGTCTTGTAATGGAGATAGAAAATTGCAGCCAGACAGGAGCCAGGCAATTCGGGAGAGGCTGAGGGGAAAAGGGCTTCCCACAGGTAAGTGCTTCATTGCAGCCCTGTGAAAGACCAAGTTTGGGTAGATTTTGCAAGCAAAGAAATCAGAGGAGGACTTGCGTACATTCACAAAACTCTGATGGTTCAGTGTCTAGGTAAATGTTGATGATGGTAACAGGCGGTGATGGCTTCAAGAAAATATTTGTCTTTTTCAGTTCTGTGCTTCTGGTAGGAACAGGTTTTAAAGGTTCTTGGCCAAATGTTTTGTTTCTGGAGAAAGGAGATTTTCAGCTGAAGGTTGGTCAGCTAGAGGAAGAGGAAGCAGCTTTTCCTTGTTCCCTCTTTCCTGTAGACTCTGCTCTCTCATCATAGCTCTAATTGCACAAAACAGCTCATCCTGTGTCCTGGGGAGCCCTGGACTCTTCCCTGCACACAAAGCTCTTTTGCTGCCTTTTTTTTTTTGTTGTTGTTGTTGTTTCTGAAGAGAAGTGACATGTGTTCCATCACAGTTCTGCTATGCTTTGACAGTGTGAGATAGATAGGGAGGCCAGGTAGGGTTGTACTTTACTTCAGGGAAGTAAGGAAAGAGGAAACTGGGAGACCAGGGAGGAGACAGATGGTTGCTGTTGTCACTGTGGAGGAAAAAGGATAAAGTGATCTAGGTTGAATGCTGGTGTTTGCTATGATTTTTTGCTGTTTAATATCATAGATATTGTTTAAGGTCATTGGCAACATCAGCAGCATCAACTCTGTGCTAGTCTTTTCAGACAAGACGATGTAGTCTTCCAAAAGGCTGGTCTCTAAATTTTTCTGAAAGAATTGTGGAGCTGAGCAGGAACATTTTATGAGGCATCAGCTTGGACCAATCTAAGTCATTGCAACACAGATATGTTGCTGATGTGAGCGAGTTGCTCCTCTCTTCTTTGGTTTTGTGTCAAGCAACAATGCACTAAAAAGCAGGAACTGAAATAACCATGGTGTTGTCAGTGACAATATGAACTGCAGAAGTTAGACACAAGTCTGGCAAGGGATTGGTGGTCTTCTTTTATTGATTATTTTCTTTTTATTATTTTTTTTTTTTAAGATGAGGCTAGATTAGGCTACTGTTTGATATAAAACACTTATGACAGTGGTTGTCAGCCCTTCCACTACAGCACTATGTGTTTAGGAACAGTTTCTGGTACAAGCTGTTTCTTCATTTTCTGGCACAAATCCACTGTTCTGACTGCTTTCTCAGGGGCTTTGCTTTCTTACTGGTTCTTTTATTTTTTGACAGAATATTTCTGTGGCAATAGGGAGATCTTTTAGAAATACAGGGTTAGGAACTGGATCAGTCTAGTTGACTGGATTCGTAAACCATATATTGTCTGCCTTTTCTGAATTTCTTAAGATCTTTCTTAAATTCTTTCCCTGGATCCCACTAAGTGTAAGGTTTGAACCAGAACCTTATTTTTCTGGGTGCTAATTTGTTTATTCTTTAACCCTATGCTTCCCAATCTCCAGTGTTGTCCAATAAACAGTTTCTTTAAACACCTTTGTTCTTTTGCCAGTACTACCATATTCAGTATTTTTTTCAAGAACTTTATTTAAGCACAAAGCCTTACTACCTCAAGTTTTTCATTTCTATGCCCTCTTTCTGTCACCTATTCTGCTTTTTATTTCATAACCACAATTAACTGTGTTTTGGTAATGATTAAAATATTTGTAAAGTTTTGAAGACATAGCAGGATTGTCTTTAAAGTCTTTTCTTACTGCATTAGCAAACTCTCATTATTCTTTTCTTTGTTGTTTCTAGTTTTCCATTCTCTAATACAACTGACCAGTCTTTTCCTGTTTTGTAATTAATTTTCGTAGAAAATCTTTAACTTTTTTTAAATGTTTGTGGTTTGAGAGGTTTTATTTCTCTGTCCATTTGTTTTCCTACCCACAACTACATTTAAACTTTTTAGCAGATTTTTCTTTCTCCTGAAATAATGCTTGTCCCCAGTGTCTTCATTATATCTTAACAAAAACCCTTTTGTTTTAGGTTCTACTAAATTTTGGAGATTGCTGTAGTAGCTCCAGCCAATATCTTCATGGCTTTCTGGGTCGGCACTAGGGTGAATAGCATGTAATGTCTGAAACTTTCTCTGGAGACTCTGTCTTTAACTCAGAGGGAGTAGACTAGATGATCCAATTTCTGTTTTTTTACTGTATTCTCTAACTTGAAAAAAATGTCATGGGTAGAATGTTTTTTCCTCTTATTCTTGGAGACTGAGTCCACTTGGCTCCACTGCTATCAACCAATAATTTTAACAGAGAGTTTTAAGCAACCTTGCTCAAAATTACTTTCTGAAAGTTCTCTTTTTAGGGAACTTCATACTTTCTGAAGAGTTCTAATTTAATAGAATCTTTACTCAAATAATATTTGTGAAATGAGAGAACCTGATAACCCCCAGACAACAAAGTTGGCTGAACAGTCCTCATCCCTTAACACCTGTTGCTCACTGAAAGTGCTTGCATTTGTAGAGTGTTACAGATAACATGTGGCAGCCCAGGGAATAAGTGTTTGTGCTTCACTCTTCCAATGCAAACATTATATTGTCTGCATAATTCCAAGCCTGGTCTGAAAGGTACAAGTTATTAATGAGATGCTCTTGAATACTTGATTTTTTTTTTCTATTCTTTTCAAGATGAAATGTCAACGATCAAAACTGTTTTCAGTTACCTTGTAGGGTTTATGATACTTTGGTGTTATGGTTCTGTCTTCCCCCCCATCTCTAGAAGCAGAAAATATTTTTCATGTTTTCTGATACTTGAGTCTTTATCTTTTCCTTTTTGTTTTTTAATGAAAAGAAAGATAAATTGAAATCACTCATTCCTTTGTTTTATGTGTTGCCTGACCTGCTTCCACTCAACCATTTCCAATTTCTCTGTATCATGTTATTTACCTGTAAAACTCAATTTTCTCCTTTTCCTAAGAAGCTTTACAACCTTCTTAGCTTCCCCAAAGCTTTCCCAATTCTGATTCTGTTATAAGTAACTTTTCCTTGTATGCCTTAATAGCACCTTCTTTTTATTTTGGTCTTAGGTACATTGCTTGATCTCGGCTTTGTTGAGACCTCAGGGAACTGTAATATACAAAACAGAACCCCTCAAATATCCAAACCAGTTCTAGCTGTTATCAGTTCTGTTTTTACACTGATGTTAAGTACACTGAGTCATGTATTTGGAAGTTAGTGAGGACCCAGTGAAACGGGTGTCTGATATTAATGGGCAACAGCTTGCATTTCATTCAGTGCACTTCAGTGCTTGTTATTTCTTTTTCTGCAATGATGTGCTGGTTTGCCGGTGCAAATTCAGTCCATTACAGCACACATCAGCTGCCCTAGGGGCACAGCTGTAAATTTCAGGGGAAGTGAGCTGTATAAATGCAATGCTGATTATATTGGTTGATAATCTCATGGATTGAGGAGCTCTAAGTAGAAAGCCAGATGAAGGTTTAAGAAAAATGTTACAGTTGAAAAAATAAAAGCCAACAAAACCAAAACAACTCAGGAAGGCACAAAGTCCTTTTTCCCTGATTTGTCACTCTGCTATTCTGCTGCTGTGTGTAGCTGAAATAAATACCTATTGGTCCAGTTGCAAATTTGCAAGTATTTAGAAGGTTAGTAAGCTACTAAGAGAGGATTATGATTTTGAATGCATCTTTCTAATGAGTTAGAAGTCCTGTGAGTCATCTTCTGCCCTTTTCTCAGGTTTAACTGCCTCTAAGAACACATTTTGAGTCAAGTTTACCACTGGGATGATTGGAGGGGGTGAGGTGGGTGCACATACGGATTTGTATAACTTTACTAGTCACTTCTGTAGTGTACTGTAAATAAAATAAATTCAGTCAGCAGAAATCTTTACTGGAAAGGACAGAAGACTTTGGTGATATTCATGGAGGTGAAGTTCTGTTAAGTTGTGAAAATCTTAGAATTCATAGTGAATAGAATAGCTGTCATATGGAGAAAAAGGCAGCATAAGGGGTAAGACATTTATTGTGAGCTTTAGAGTATCGGAAAATTACTTGGAGCATGTAACTTAAGATAGTTGATAAATTGTGTGAAGTTCATGAATATGAGATGGTTCAGTAAGAGAGATGTGCTTATAACTGGAGAGTAGCCAATTAATACCTTAGAAATTTGTAGTATTTGAAAAATGCTATGATTTTTTCTTTATTTGAATTCCATTTTTATTAGGATCAGTTTTTCATTCCATGTTAATCCACTGTTATAATTGCCGGGCCTTTATTGTTGACTTAGGATAAGTGTTTTGAAATTTTTCCACCTCACATGTTTAAATCAAATATTTTGCTCACCTTATGTAACCAGCTTTGATATTTTCAGCTATTCATTTCTATCTTTGTCTTCAAGATAATTATTATATTCATCAACAGCTTTGTGATAATATTCTCCTCAGTTAAATTTCTTTTTTGTCTCTTTCGTGACTCACTTTCTGTGGCTATCTTGGTGAATGAGTTTTACAGCAAGGCTGGCTGCAGAAGTAATTTACTTTAAATTAATATTACAGAATGTTTGCTTTTAGTCAAGCTGTATTCAGAACACAATGTTTAGAAACTGACTTAGCCAGCAGAAATAAAAGCATTAAGACCTGTCATGAGTCATCTGAACCAATGAATTACTTCATTTTTGTACTTAAAAACACTTTAGACCTTAAAAGAGTTCTTACATCAAGAATTATATATGAAAGTTACTTAATTGGCTTAATTGATAAAGTTCTTTTGGTGTGACAAAAGATTAAGCAACTGTCAAACTCATCTGAATATAAAGCAAAAATTAATTCACTGTGTTACTCTTTGCCACAAATTATCCTTGAAAAGGATGTGTAGGCTATTTAATGCTCAGCTGAAATCTCCTTAACATGTACTTGCCTGGAAACCTGCTTCCCAGCCATCTAATACCTGAAATCCTGCACCTCGTGTGTTTATTTGCAAAGTTTCAATTTAAGTTGATGATCCAAGAACACCAAGGACAGACCTTTGCCAGAGATGTTTCATC